ATAGGAACGAAACAAATTACATCTAAAATAATGATTTCAAGTTTAACAGTAATGACAATATGTCTGAATTTAGCGATGATGATTATATCCCTATGCTAGAAGAAATTGACATGTTAAATCTACCATTCAAAAAATTATTTGACACTGCTCTCAAAATTGAAGAAGATTTAGAAGAAACCGATATTCGCGTAGTCGCCGCAATTGGTAAATTCAAATCGATTATTGTCATTACTGTTAAACTTGAAATCATTATTTTAGATGTAATTTGTTTCGTTCCTATTTTTCAGACTTCGGTACCACATATTCGGTGAGAACATATTCATACATGCATCATAATTTTTTTTCATAAATTATGTCAACATTCACACGTTTATAATCACCGAATTGAATATAGGGATATGCATTTGCCCATTTAAGAAGTAATCCTTTAGAAATTGAAACTTGTGTCGAATGGGCCGAGTACGATGGTATACCAAAGATACCAACAGTCCTCAAATACAACAAGTCTTTTGATGTTATAGATTGGGGATATCCCGCGTTAATTGATCTAGATCGAAGAAATCCAGATCGAAAAAAAAATCTTAATCAAATATCCAAGATGAAACCTGATTTGAGACCCGTAGAGTTATTTAAACTTTATCTGGGTAATATTAATGACATGGAGAGTAAGCCTTATCTCCCTCCTGGGCTTGGTTACAAACAAGCTATAACCGATTATTTACGTAAGATTGGTGATGCACTTAAGGATCGATTAAACGGATGGCAAAACATCGATTACTTTAAAAATGTTCGCTTGGTTTTAACAGTACGTAAATATATAATCTTTTATCTTTTTTTTTTATATAAAATACAAAACTGATCTATATATATTACATATATTATACGATAGGTTCCTGTAGAATTTGATAATAATGCTATATCTACTATGCGTGAATGTGCTGTTGAAGCTGGGTTAACGAAACAAAAGCATAATTCCAATGGTTCTAACTTGTTATTTATAAATGAACGTATGGAAATTCAAATTTTCTATTTTTTTTTTTAACGCGAATTGGCGTGAAATTTCAAATATTTCATTATTATTATTATTATTATTATTTTATCTGTTATTTTTCATCACACATTGTAGTTGACTCACAATCTTCTTGTGTTTTCAATAGCTGACGCAGCTGCAGTGCACTGCTTAAAGACATCTGGTAAATATGATTTATCAGCTGGAGGTATGTAAGTCACTTTCATGTTCAATTCAATGGGAAGCAGTACAGGATACTGTATCAATATACAGGATATGATATAGTATACACATTAATATTTTTAAATCTGTACGATACAAGATACTTTTATGGTTGTAGATTCAGGCGGTGGCACAGTTGATATAACGACAATGAAAATGTTAGTAGGCAACAAATTAAGCGAAAAAATTGAGAGTAAAGGGGATTATTGCGGAGGCAGTTATGTAGACCAAGAATTTTTAAAATTCTTAGCAGAAAAAGTTGGTGAATCAACAATTGAAGTTTTAAAAAAATTTCATTATGGACAAATTCAATATGTGATTCAAGTATTTCGTCGGCGAATTAAACATAAATTTACGGGAAAACCTGATGAATTTACCGATTTTGAATTGGATTTAGAAGGTAATTTTATCCTTAGGTTTTATTTTTTTTATTTTTTTTACTTAATCATACACATGGTGTAATGTATTTTATATTTTCTGTAACATCTATGCATACAGAATTATGTCCAGTTATGAAGAAATATGTGAAAGGTGCCATAAAAGACGAATTAGAATTATCTATGTGGGTTGTAACTATCAAATATGATGATGTGAAAGGAATGTTTGATCCCGTTATCGATAAAATTATCAAGTTGATTCATGGAAGACTTGACGCTCTTGATTCTCCATGTTCCACTATGCTATTAGCGGGTGGATTCAGTGAATCTAAATATTTGGTATCAAGGATCAGAAATGAGTTTAACAAAATTGTTCCAAATATTTCCGTTCCTTCTAATCCTATGCTTGCGATAGTCAAAGGTGCTGTCCAATATGGATCTTCCCAAAAAATCATTGTAGATCGTATTTTGAAATGGACTTATGGTAATTAAATTATGTACTGTACATTATGTATTTATGTGATCATTGCAATTAAGTTAACCATATATTGTGAAACTTAGGAACTGATATTATACGAAAATGGAACCCAAGCGATCCTCTGGATCGAAAAATTGGTGACCACATTAACGTCTTCAGTAGATTAGCTAAAAGAGGGGACAGAGTGGCTGTAGGTGAAAGGGTTTTGAGAATTTTTTCAACGACACATATCTTACAACGTTTGATGGGTCTAGATGTATTTGTCACACGTGACGATGATGCAAAGTATTGCGATAGTCAAGGTGTAGAACTACTAGACAATTTCAATATTAAGGTACCTATTACTGGAACCGAAAAGCGTGCGATCCTATACATTATGAATTTTGGTATGGCAGAAATTCAGGTCACTGCGATAAATCCAGATAATGGAATGAAATACGAGAGAGTATTTGATTTGGATATTTGAATAATTTTAATCATGAGAGAATTTTGTGATGTAACCTTTTTCTTTTATAAATAAATAAATTTGCATATTAAATTGTAACTCTCTTTGAAAATTAACATTATGTCTGAGTTAACCTTTCACGTATTAAAAGTTGAATTTTGGTTTAACGATAGCCTCTTACATATGCAAAAAATTTTTAACTAGTAATGTTCCATCAGAATCGTGATATGCTAGGCCAGAATTAATAAATTGTTCTAATAAAGTTATAGTCATTATGTAAAAGTGCCCAACCAATAATTTTGCATAAAATAGTTTTGCTATCACCATTAATATGTACGACTAGTACTGCTTGTTGCAAATATTAATTGCAACTTTTTTTGTAGTGCAACTAGGGTTGCAACACTTGTGATGTTTTAAATATAAAATTTGACGATAACGT